TGGGGGAGATGGAAATATGATGGTTTCGAATAGAAAAGTCACATAGTCTTCATGTCAACTGTTGTAGTTCTAATCAAATCAGTTTAAAGAAATCGAATCAATTGTAGTATGCGCTTGAATGTACTTCTCCTTTGTCAAAATCACGGCATTTGAATTGCCTTGCCACATCACAACTTCTTAAGGCCGACTGTAGTTGGTTAACATTTTGGCAAATATCAGAATCGCTAATGCGAACGTAATCTTTGATTTATGTTCGGTAACATTTGAAGATTAACTCGGAGGTAGCTTGTCCTGTTTTGCTTTTGTGCCCATGGAACAAGTCGTGCGACAGTTGATGATGTCTCTGCGAAATCTTTTTCCATTTGCTGCATCATCGCTTTGAGAATGAAGGAATGAAACTGCTGAATTTCTTAGTATTAGGGAGGCATTTGTGTTTACTTGTCCTCTTCCTCTTTCTAGCATGAACACAACCGACGTATACATTCTTCCGATCTTCCTCCTCCCCCTCATCCTCCTCCTAAGGCAGCACACCAAAATAGTCTCTCGCTGCCACATCTGCGTCGGTCCTTCTTGCCTCCTACCCCAGCCCACTCTCACCTCCCTCCTCTTGCCTCCCAGCAATGGCGAACGCACAGCACCACCACCGTTTCTTCCCCCTCTCTTTTCATCACAGGAAGTCCCTCGACCTCCCTAGTGGATTATTGGCCTTCATCCAGCCTGACTGCCGCCGGCACTGCTGCTACAACCTTTACTACTGTGGTTCCTTCCTCCATGGCCAATCATCAAGGTCAATCGGTGGGCTCCTACAACGTCTCCCTTTCGCCTCCTCGTGCCCACTCCAACCACTCCTCCTCTCCCCCTCGTCAAGGCGATCCTCGGCACCCCGAGGGAGGCTTTCTTGATTTTCCCCATCCACCTAGCTGGTCCACCACCAACCATTGAACAAGACATTTGTTCTTGTAAATATTCCGTCCGCCACACTCTTGGCAGTGAGCAGGTGACTGCATATGGGCAAATGATGTTGATCCTTGCTCCACTTTCATTTCTGTTCAATTCTCCCACCCTCTCCTCCTTACTCCCCTCCCTCACTATTTTACGCCAATGCTTCTCACCCTTCCCTTCTCTTGGTATAAGATGTTTTACTCAGTGACGAATGTATGTATGTGTACATGTATGCGTAGTGATGATGAGGGAGGGAGGGGGTCGAATGTTTGCTTGAGTCTGCATTCACACCGCGAATAGTCGTCTTAGCCAGTCATCCAATTTGTGATTATCTGGTCCATCATTATTGCTCGTCATTTCTGGACTCCGTGGGTGGGTGTGTGGGTGTGGCGCATAAATTTGCATAATTTAAGAAAAGATGCGTGTAAGGTGGGAGACTGACAATGACATGTGAGTGGAGCTTTGGCGGATGTGTTTTTAGTTGGTTGGTATTTGTGGCTGCCGCCAACGCATGTGCTTACGTGCTGTAATGTTGATGAGTGCCATGGCGGAGATTTTTTGAGAGCGCCTTGTTTACAATGTGGATGGAGGATGGAGAGAGGGGGAAGGATTGGATCTCCGTCCAAAATTGTCTTGTGTGATCAAATGATTGATTGGCATTAATGCCAATGGGGTGCGCCAGGAGGCAACATCGGTAGGAATAGGGAGGACGCGAGTGAGTGTGCGATGCCGTGTAGCAGTACACTCATTCCCCACTTTTATCCAACATGGTCTCCAAGTCGAGTCGCCTCCGAAGTTGAGGAAATAGAAGCACTGAAAGGGAGATTCTTTAAATGAATTGTTTGGTGCGGTAAGAGGGTGGAGGAAGGGGGAAGGTGGGGCACAAATGAGGGTCGAAACATAGCCTTCCTGCTGATGTGTTTCAACGTTATCCGACACGTTATCTTTACAACCCCGTTCTTTATGGGGCATTGATGAATGCTGGTGTAAGCATCTGGTCTGCATTGGTAGTGGACTACTGCACAGGTCTCCGCACCGCCATGACAGCTCTTCAACTAACCAGAGCTGCAATGACCTTTTTTCCCGCCCTCTCCAACTGTGGCATCAAAGAGATTGTTACTCTTCTTTTATCTTACCATAAACACTGATTGTCTTCGAAGGTTACGCCCGTTTGAGTCTGATGATGACTGCATCTAGCAAAGTACAGTAAGTTCAATTTCATTTCAAGTAAACAATTTACAATTTCGTGGGTAAGTGGAGGGGATTGTCTGCTTCATGTCTAACTCACACACAGCCCTCCGCGTTGAGAGGTTGTTAGAATGTCATCGGCTGACACACCCACAGCACCGAAGTTTTAAGAGTCGACAACCTAGTGACCTCTATCTACACAGCACCCAA